AACAGGTCTTGACTCAGCCATGTCAGTCTCTTGCCTTCCTTTTCTGATTTCTTACACCTGGGGATCAGGAGCTCTTGTGCCCTATGGAAAGGGTCCTTAAAGATCTGCCATCTCTGTTCTGCCATCTCTGCTCCCTTATCCCTGAGGGGGTCCCATTGACTAACTCCTTGAACAGCTAGAAGTTCACTTTCCTAAAATTCAGGATCCTGACTTTACTCTTTGCCTGACCCATATCCCTCAGGACTGCAAACTCCACCAGTGCATGACCACTGCAGCCCAGGCTGCCTCCAATCCTGACATCACCGATTAGCTCACTTGCATTAGTGACCATCAGGTCCAGTATCGCATCCCCTCTGGTAGGCCTGTCTATTATCTGGCTTAAGAAGCTATCCTCAATGCATTCCAGGAGTCTCCCAGGTTGCCTAGAGCTCGCCGTGCTATTTTTCCAGCAGATGTCGGGTGGTTGAAGTCCCCCAGCAGAATGAGAACCTGGAGCACGATGCCTCCTGTAGCTGGAGTAAGAAGGCTTTGTCAATAGGCTCCCCTTGATCGGGTGGCCTGTAGTAGGCACTAGCCATAAGGTTCCCTTTGTTACCTCGGTCTCTAATTCTTACCCATAAGCTTTCAACCTGCTCTTGGCTATTCTTCAGACAGCTCTTCACACTATCCATTTCTTGATGCAGAGGGCAACCCCTCCACCCCTCCTTCCTCACCTGTCCCTTCTGAACAGTTTGTAGGCATCGATAGCCGCACTCCAGTCATGGGATTCATCCCACCAAGTTTCAGTAAGGGCAACTAGGTTGTAGCTTTCTAGCAGCACAGTGGCTTCCAACTCCTCCCGTTTGTTGCCCATGCTGCATGCATTGGTGTAGAGGCACTTCAGCTGGACTGTCGGCCATGTCACCTTCTTAGAGGAACACCCCTTAATTCCTTTGAGGTGTGCTCCAGTGTAGCCAGCACATCTCAGAGCAACAGGCTGAGTGCCCTCACTAGCACCCCATCCCTCTAACCTTGGCATGTCACCCCACAGCTTGTCACAGGCAAGCCTGATATTATCCCCCTCCCCCGCCAAGCATAGTTTAAAGCTCTGTCAATAGGCACTGCTAGCTCATGAGCAAAGACCCTCTTCCCCCTTTGAGAAAGGTGAATGCCAGCAGGCCTGGTGCCACGTAGGCCACCCCATTATCAAAACCCCCAAAATTGTGTCGGTGACACCAGCCACGGACACATGTATGAACAGACTGGGTGTGTCTGTTTAGTATGTAACTTGGTATACCAATGACCTTACCAGAACATTAACTCCATACTGCTGCAATCAAGCTGCTTTTGGAACTTAGTGATGTTACGATAAAGCTGAAAATGTCTATTTTAAACAGAGATGGGCTAACCAAAGGTACAATTATATACACATTTCATACCAACTCTGGCCGGTGGTGCAACTGGTTAGAACGGAAGCTTCAAGACACTCAGTGCAGTGACTCCTCTAGAAGTCGTATGTTATAGAGTAAAATGTTGGGGGCAATAGCATGCACGTTTTGATACTAGTGTAACTGCAGACGTGTACATACCTGGAATAATTCACAGTCAGAAGATGTCAGAGTCAAACTGGCATTTGGGTAACTGTGTACAGCCTATATAAAATATCTTATTAGATTACTGTTCGTTATCTGAAGCTTGTACACTGTTGAGACAGACTGATTAACTGTGCCACTTTACAAAAGGGAAAAATGGACTTGACAAATGCAGTCACTCAAGTGTGATCACACTGTCTGCTGTAGAGATAGTGAGGTGCTTCCAGATGTCATATAGGTGCGGTTATTTCAGGAAAGCATTTCTGAGAGAGGAACTTTGTTATGCAACAGTATAATGCCAGAAAAATGCGTGTTACATTTTGTTGTGGGTTTTTTTCCCCCTCCTTTCAGACAGTGCCCGAGTGGTTAACTTGACATTACTATGCATCATCTCTTCCCTTCCATTGATTAAAAAGAAACCCGATCGACTTCCTTTGCATAACATGTAAAAATTCCACAGAAGAAACCGAGAACAGTAAAAGAAGAACAGCTCATTCTGTTCGATTTCTTTCTTAGGCTACACAACCTGATCAGTTTTGAAGAATTAAAAAGACATTATAGCTGGATAAGAGATAATCTGACCTCTTATATGCTAAAAAGGAATATATTGTTCTGATAACCCATTTAACGAGGTGCAAGGAAACTCAGTCAGATGTTATTTTAAATTACCCAAACTGATTTATTGACAATTTAAATGTGACATATTTACAGCACTGTTTCTAAAATAATTTAACAATTTTCATAGATTTATAAAAGTACTGATAAATAGGAGACCCTGACAATTACCAACCACAAATATTTCCCTATGCTACTGAACTACAACAGTAGTTCTTTTTTCTTTTTTCCTCTTTTTATAAGTCCCATAATGGAGCTGCTTTACCTCCACCCAATGTGTAAAACTGCCAATACCAAAATATAATAAAATGAACATGCAGTGTGAAAGCTGTACCAGAGAAGTGATTTCAGATGTTAGACTACAGTAAAAATATTTCAATGCAAAGTGTCTTCCACACAGAATGTACTTGTGAAAAAATAAGCTTTTAAAGAGCTATTGTTTTATCTTTATAGAAGTTAAAACCTACAATACTAGTTCAGACATTTACAGTAACTTCCAATTCTGTGCTAGTTTTCACATATATCTAAAGAGTCAAACAAAACCAGTAATTTACAAACACCACTGCCTTAAGACAGTGGTTAGTTAGCTTATGGGTGAAAAAAAAGAAGGTGCTGATATAATTTAAGGTTTTGAAATTAGATTATATTTCATTCTTATATGACACCAATTATTCTATCCTTGGATCAACAAGTTATTGTGGCAAAGCCATCCGTATCTCTCAAGCAGGAAGTCAGTTTGGAAGTTGGAGAGAAGATGGACTTGTATGATATGTATCTTAGGTTACAGTAGACAAAAAAAAACTATCATAAAGCTGGACAATCTGAATCACAGTAAGCAGCAGCATGAGATATTTGTGGGGTTTTGATTAAAGCAAGCATTTTTCAAAAACGATGAAAAGTACACACTCAACCTAATCCAATACTTGAAATGTAAAGGTTCTTTTCATTTGCATCACTGAAGCCCCATAACACAGTGTACACAAACAACAAACACCCATTTTTTTAAAAACATATTGCACAGCTAGTAGGTGCAATACCAGAACACTGGTATCCCTAGCATAAATTTTCTATTTTGAATAGCTGTTTTGAACTATGCTATTCAGAGCAACTCCAAGCCAACGTTCAAAACCATTAAGAATGGTTTGTGTACATAACTAATCCAAAAGTGTTTCAACAATGTGAGAAAAAACACAGGCACTTAAGATTATTAGTGCACCAAAAGTTATAGGCCACAGTTGCGTGACTATGAACAGTTCAGTACCAATAATGACAAAACTAAACAAGGAGGTCTTCCACTGATTAATATAGAAACAAGAACTGTTCACAAAGCACTGATAAGAAAACCATTCTCAAGACAGTAATCAAACGATACGTTTAGACATTTAAGAAAAATAATTGCTGCAAAGCCTAATGTAACACAATATAAACCCTACTTAGTTCAAAAGATCTAAAGTGTCCAAATTCAAAAGTCCAATTTCTCTTCTCCCCGCTCCGAAACACTATTACATGCAGTCCATTAATATCCAAATGTGCAAAAAGTTATAACCCACCTTTAGGAGTGCATCAAAAATAGGCTGACTATTCAAAGTATTATTTTAGTGGAAATTTTACAGCACCATAATTAGAATCCCAAGGGAGTTCAGAATTCTTGTTCTGATAACAAATCAGTTGACACTGTTGATCCTAAAGAACAGAAGAAACATTTTGTGCATTTCCTGGTATCTGAAAGTCATATTCTCATCTATGCCTAAAATCTTACTGTAGTTCAAAATGAAATTAAATCATCACATTTGTTGGCAGTAAGTTCTCCACAATATAGCATTAGTTATAAGTTTAGTAAATTTCCCAAATTAGGAATGCAAAGTTACTGGTACCTTGCTTACTTGCAGAAGTACTTTTTTGTTTTTGTCTTTTGGGTTTTTTTTTCCTTTTAAATTGTGCAGTTTGGCCCCTCCCTAGTAAGTGATTTACTATCAGGCTTTGAGAAAATGCGTAAGGTCCAATTCTGACCCTCAGCTGAAAGGCAATATACAAACACATTATATATACACATGTGTGCATGGAAACACACACACACACATATATATATAAAAAAAATATCAGTGTTCTGGTTTTTTGTTCTCATTTCCTATAATTCTCTTTGGTTAAAAGTCCAAGCACGGAAATTAGAGGACCGAACAAATGGATCATTCTCCAAACACTTCCATCACTACACATCACTAACTGGAAGGCTTGCATCATCCAGATCCACAAGGCCAGGATCCTGTTCCTGAGTGCCATTTTTACTTTGGGGTTCCGAGTGGCCCCGTTCAGTCACTTTGGAAGCTGATTCTCTTGGAGCGACAACCTGGATCTTGTAGCTCCCTGGCTTGGCCTTGGTAAAAGATTCGTGAAATCCTCGCTTCTCCAAGGCAGGGTATTTGGCGTGAGGGTTTGGGACCAGAGGGCTGTCGTGAGCGGCTGTGGAATGTGAGGTGGCTGAGGCTGGGATGGCAGAACGGAGAGCATGGTTGGGTTCGGAAGAAGACTCTGTATGCTCCTGGAAAAGAACAGCACGTGTCAGATGAAGTCATTGACGTCATGTTGGAAAGATGCAGTTTCAGATTTCACACTCAGGAAAAAAAAATCAAGACAGAAAATACACAAAGCGAAGCATCAGCCACAGCAGCAGGAGGCAGGTGCTTTCTCAAGGCAGTGTATTATTAAATGTGAGCTTACAGCAGTATGTGACAGCAACATCAGTTTCTTCATTCAAGGAAATTAAATTTCTCAAATCAAGCTCAGCAGCTCTTTAGACTTTATGATATAGTCCAGCAAATTGAACCTTCTCATTTTACCAAGATGTTAAGTAACCTTTTGAAGATACATACTTTACAGGGCATTGAAAGTGACATCTTTCCGAGAGAAAAATGTATTCAAACATACTCATATACTTCAGGCGCTCATATCCTAAATCCTGAAGTAATGCACATTTTACTGTTCCCTCTTCTTAGGGTACCAATCTCCCCAATTTGTTTCAGGGACCAAACAAAAACAGTAACTATTTTATGCTATCAAGACTGTATAACAATTTCCAAAGTTAGTGGACCTAGAAAAGAAACTGATCTTTAAGCTGTTCCTTCTAATGGTCAAGTTATTTTCTTGTGTTTGTTATTTTTAACTGCCATTCTGTTGACTTTTACATAACTCTATTAGATTGATACTGTGAAAATAATCTTCCACCATTTATTTACTGATAGAAACAAGTTCCCAGACCACCTAGGAATGATTCAGATGTCTAAAGCATAGGCACAGACTGCCATTTTAGATGTTCTAGGATATCCTGCCTGACCTACAGCTGTATCTCCAAAACAAGAAATTCCTCGGGTTCTGCATCCTATCTATCAGTTCTGTAAGGATGTCTCGGATACCTAGGGATATCTAAACCAGCGCTGGATACAGTGTTAAATGATATGATCAAAATGATGTGTGATGATGCAGTGAATGCTTCACTCTGCATGTATTAGGAGCTGCAGCTGCTGCCACTTCTGCCATCACCAGTGTTAGTACATGAATTAAAGAAATCTGCGAACCCATGTGTGTACACAAACCAAGTCACTTTTCAAGCACATTTGTTAGCAAAAAAAACCATCACAGATGTGTGTCCAAGATGCAAATATACATCCTAAATCAAATACTTATTTTTTCACAGCAGTTTTCCAAGTTTCTTTTAGAATGCTATGACATGAATTCATCAATTTAATCATAATGGATTCTGCCAAGTACTACTGTATTTCTTTTTATAAATTCACTAACTTGGATAAAGGAGCTGTGCAACTTTTTTTGGATTTTAGTTGTGTGTTCGATTTCAGTGAAGTATTTCACATTATTTACATTGCCTTATTTCATACCTGACTTGATACTCCACTTTAAGAAAAACATTTGCTTTAGGAGAATGTGATTCAGTGATTTACTTACTATTTTTCTTATTATTAATAATTTTAGTTCAACAAACAGGACAAAAATAAGGGATATTAAGACAAGATCTCTATAACAAACTTTTTGCTAAATTGAACTGAAGGATACTCAGATTTTACTACCCACACTGACTGTAATTTCACAGTTAAGAGACTACGCTGCTGCATTACTCCTAAGGTGTACTGCTTTGAACAGCGTACCGATTATACATTATAATGCTTCTACATTTGAACTAATAATTCCATGCAGAGACTTATAAGCCATGCAAATCAGGCTACAATATTATCCTTCCAATTACTAGAGTTGCGACGTGCATTTTTTGTGTGCACGCATCTGTATTAGTTTGTGGGTAGCTTAAATTTAATTTTGCTTTTGCGCAGTTTCAAAAAAAATGTAAAGTAAAATGGAAATATGAACTCTCATGCAAATTTTTAATACTTTCCTATTAAAATGACAACACATAACTTACGTTTAAATATATAGTATGCTTTGAAGTATAAATACATGTTTTTGCCATTTTTAATTTCCAATTATTTTAAAGGTAAGAAAAAACAGTGCAAACCTGTAAGCGAATGATATAATTTATGCGTTAGTTTTCAGTAATGGTAATGACAACAGGTAGCATTATTTTTAGTTTTTTATAGTGCAAATTAGTCTCTAGTCCTAGCCCTCTGTTAAGAAGGCAAGTTTACATGAGAGCCCACATACGTGCTGCATTCACCAGTTCTTGATGTATACCTCTGTATACAAGGATTCGACAGCCTTCTGGCCTGCCGCATCTGGAACACAGTGCAAAGCTAAGATTAGAGTAACCTAAACTTGGGGAAAGAAGAGAAGAGAGGGAAAAAGAAAGAAGTCATGCAGACAGTAATAGCTAGATTGCTCAGTTAGCCCCACAAAAAAAAGATACACAAAGAAAGATTATCTGCATATTTTCATTCCCCCAAAAAGAAACAAAATTTATGATAGGAAGTTTTATTTAAAAGCATGAAGCAGCTCCCAGCTGCAAAAAATAACTGAGAGCTTAGATTGAGTTAACAGAAACACAGTATCAATGCAAATGTATAGTCAAAAGCCAGATTTAAGTTACTAGATTTCAGATTATGGGGGGTAATGATACACTCAGCTTATTACAAAACATCCCATAGCCAGAAAGTGAAAACCATAGCTTGCAACATCTGAACTGTAAAGTATTCCATTTGTTAAATTTGGACATACTTGAAGACACTGTGACACTACAGTAACCTTCACTGTTCACAAGTTAATGTACTTTGTACTGAACGTCTAATACAATTTAAATGCAAGTATGTATGAAATGTTGGCATCCACATGGCTTCACAAATATTAAGATTTGTCACAGTGCCTCAGTTCAGTAATGCTACATGGTGTTCACACTACGTTTCCAACAGCAAAAACTAATTCGTGTGAGCAGAGATCTCAGAGAAGTTACTTTAAATTTGAATCTATATCCGCATATACAATAAACTATCAACAATAGAGAATGCCAATTTAGTAGTGAGAGTGGTTAAAAACAAGTTAGGATATTGTCATTTGATCGCAAAATTCAGCAATTAACAGAAACACCTCACAGGAATTGAAGTTTCAATTTTACTTCCAAACTAGTAGCAGCATAGTGACAAAGATCATAGTGAACTCAGAATTTTTCTAGGTTAGCACTTGCATTATCTACGTGTTCATGACAATACAATGCACATAAAGTTACATACATGTAAGACTAAGATAAGTGCTCAATTAAAAACGCAAAATATTTTATGCCAGTCTGTATGAAAGTTCATGCAAAGATGCCATGTTACTACAGGACAGGATAGAGGACAGGCGAAAGGAAAAAACAACTAGAACTTAACGTGCACAAGCGAACATCAACTAATCACATTTTCTCTGAGGTTCAGAATAACATACGGAAGCTGCTGATCTTCCAGGTCCCCGCTGTGCTACAATGGCCCCAGAAATTGCTTTTATCCAACTGTGCATGTCTTCTGGACTGTCCGCCTGGATCAAACAATATGCATTACATTTAACATAACCAACTCTCAACTTTCCCAGTGTCCTGACCATCTGCATTAAAATGACAGCCTTACCCTACTTTAGTAGTCTGTTATTTAAAGCCATAGGGACTTCCATTTCTTAACCCAGACATCTCTTAAAATCTTACCCTGAATTTACTATTGTATGTATATGGTTATATAAAATAATAAGCAAGAAATAAGTATTTTTATACTATTTGCATACTCTAGACTCAAATTTTTACTTTCAGCAAACAAAAAAATTAAAGCACCCACAGAAATTCTTACAGGAGATCTGCTGACCCCTCTTAGCAGACTTTGGCCAATGACGTAACTTCTGTACTTTTCAGTCACTGCTGCACTTTCCTTCTATGAGGTATTTATTGAAGAGTTACAGTAAACTAAAAATCAGTCTCTGTCGGGGGTCAGCTGCACATTTACTTAGAACAACAATCCAACAAAGATGCAATAGATTAACAGTGAATACCAAGGGGGTACATATCTGGGATGAAGACAGACAAAAAGCTAAAGCCGTCTCCTAATTAGGTCGCAACTTTATTAAACTAGCACATCCACCCAGCAAGAAACATCTGCCACATGTCACTTAATTATGTTCAGCTATAGGACAGTTCATTACTCAGCATCTGGCACCACTGTCTGTATTAGACTACACAGGCATTTCTGATCCTACCAGGGAAACTCAAAAGTTATTTCCAGTACAACAAGCATCACATTCCCACAGAGCTAGGAAAAGCAAGTCTGTGATTCGCATTATATCCAAACATTTAAAAGGTAACATGGTAACGATGCAGTGAATAAAGTGCATATGGATACATATTACCAAATAGGTACTGAAATCGAAACATTGCTGTGCTTTACTAGATATTTTAATGTGTCAATAACTTGAATCTGAGAAGTCAATTACTATAGAGAAAAATTCTGTACTTCAAAATAAAAGATTTTAAAATATTGAGTTGATCCTACAGAATTTGAAGACCCGAATGCCAACAAAATCACATTAGGAGTTATTGCTTTCATACACTACCAACATAACAGTTGCTGTTATGTGGAATGTTTCTCATATGCATCTTTCTGAAACATAACAAAGACCACATTCCCTCTGAAAATCACAGCATAGTTAAATACAACTTAAAAAGCAAAATAGCAGCGCTTCTTTGCTTTGACTATGGCAGACTCTTGGTTTTGTCCAATGTTTAAAAAATAAATTACCTGTACATAAAAGGTTCGAGAAGTTGTTACAATTTCAAAGAGATTGTCTCTCATCATTATATCACTGTAAATGAAACACAAATACTTTAAAAGCAAGTACAACTTTTTATTTTAAAGAGAGACTAGGATGTGCAGAGAAGCAGAGCATTTGTTGTCTGAAGACCTTTGCATTTCTTTATCATTCTACTGTTGTTTTTTTGGTAAATACCAAGTAGAAAAAGAAAACCAGCATTTCTTACTCATTTTAATCCTAAGACTCTTCAGTTTATCAGTGGCATGCGTGCTACTGTATATATTTTTAATTAGAACATTCTAAACCATTTCATGTTAAGTTAAAAATATTTATTGTCCTAGTCAAATTTCTGTAAAATTTCACATCTGTATTTTGTTATGTCTTTGCAAAGTATTCATCCTAAGCAGCAGCTTGCTAAAAAAAAAAACCTACTACAAAGGCAATTAATTCCTTAGTATATTGCCATTTGGTGGGAGGGAAACAGCAGGAGGAAGAGTGTTCTCATCTAAATTCAGACATTTAACATAAGCTAATGTCCTCTAAAGGTTTAGAGATTATATAAGCAGAACCAAGATTCCTAAAATTGCTGCCTCAAATCAGACAGAACCCATGCATCTCTGACTCATGATTGCATGATACTCCTGTGTTCCACCCTTGTCCAATGCATTTACATCCTAGTGTATGTTACAAGTTGGAAACACACACTAATGCAGGACCCTCAAAACCAGTTCTATGCACAAATCTACTTGCTGTCCCATAAGAGTATCACACATGCATACATCAACCAAAGCTATTCAAAAGTTCTCCATTGTTTCCAATAAGCAGTCTAGCCATCACAAAGCAGTGTACTACATCTCATGTAACCATGTCAGTGCTTCTCTCCTCACCTTTGTTTGCATTCCTGAACTTTATGGACCTCCTTAAGTGGTATAACCCTGAGAGGTTCCTTTTCCTGGGGGGGGGGGAAAAAAAAAGGCAAAAATAGTTCAGTAGAGTATATCTAACAACTAGAATACTGCCAAAAAGCCAGAGGTCACGGCAGTTGACAGCAGCAGATTTACATAAATGAGACTTTCAAAAGGTGATGTCAACCAAAATTTAATTTGCTTTTGTAAGTATGAAACAAACCATGGCACTTGCAACGAAGAGGCGGCGCAATCAAGAAGTAAAAAACCCAAAAACATTCATTCACCTTACCATAATGGAGACAACCACCCCTGTCCCCTTCCCCTAACTAGATCACAAAATTGAATCTGGCCTCAAGCAGTTTATTTCAGTAAAACTGTGATGATATTCATTTGCTATGAAATGCTACAATACAAGATGCTTTGTTAATTGTACTGCATGACATGGCTTTAAGTCAGATTAATTGTACCCTATACTCAATACAATTAAAAATAATACAAAGAAATCAATCGTACCAAAACCTGTAAAAGAGCAAGTATTCTTAAAGCATATGAAAATTCTGCTACCGTAACAAGAATAAGTGTTGCAATTCTGTCAAAGTTTCACACAACAGGAAAAAAGTGTGAAAGTATTAGTTTGAATGTTCTCTTTTGCCATGACAACGTAATGTCATACATACTATTATTTTTCTGTGGTTGTTACAGTAAAACACAAACAAACAACTTATTTTACCTCCTAATGTGTTTTCTTTAAGCAATGTTACAATGGACTGCTCCAGCTGGTAGACAAAACAAAAGCTGTCAACTCTGCAATGACTACTTTCTCTACAATTTCTATTACATATACTTGAGATTTATGTTGTTATAGCAAACACTGGATGTCACACAAATATAACCATCCTCAAATGTCAGTTTTCATTAGATCACTTGTCTCTATAGCAGATCAAACGTACCGAGTTTAAAACTCAATGCTTTCAGTTATTTTGCCCCTCTTTCCCCCCTCTCCCCTCCCTGCTCTTCCTAGGTTCATTCATCCATTACAAGAGTTTTCAAAGTAATACATCAAACGTGAACTGCAAGATCATTCCTGGAATACAGACACCTGTTGCAGGGAAGATCTCAGCTCAGAAATGATAATTTTCTGAGTCTGACACTGCCTGTATTCCACTATGCTCCACCTGAAGACTGACATGGGCTCTTCCTCCAACTGAAAAGAGGAGATGACTAAGGGGTGGGGACGATGACATGACACCAAACCACCACAACAAAAAAAATTCCCAGAATCTACACATTTTTGAATTTAAAAAAAAAGCAAAACTTTTTACATTTTTGAGAGCAGAGAACTCGGATATATTTCTACAGATGCAAACTTCAAGATACTCAGTAAGTCATTTGGAGTACTGGTGAGCAGGCTGGCTGTCAAGACAAACTAACTTCAAGAAAGAGCCATACTTGACTGAAGACCGCAACTATTGGGAACTGAAGTCCAATAGAAAGAAGTTTTCCAGAATTAGAAGTCTGATGCTACACTAGCTGAATACGACCTCCATGCCGTAGCCTTCTTAACCACAAAAGGCTTGACAAATAATCACTATTGAACTTTTTTCCTATCTTTGTATTACTCTCATTAGGAACAGAAGATTATTGGGGAAACGGAGATCCCACACATTGCTGAAAGAAATCATTCACCACTTGAAATCTTCAGAAGACAGCGCTTTACCCTTTTTGTGTTTGTAGGAGATAAATAAAAGTCTGATGGACATATGGTTAAGTTGTTGCAGGTGTTTTCTTCTTGGTGGGCTGTGCTCTGGAAGTTTTGCTCTTTCCAGTACAGATTGAATGTCTCTCCAACATGTATGTTTCAGACAAGGCAGATCCTAATTGTTTATGTAGTCCAATAAAAAGGACACTATATTCCCTATCTATTCAGTACGTGCTTCCCTGAACAGGGATGACTCCCTTAAAATGGAAAAAAAGCTAGTTTCAGTAAAAATTGTGAAGCAGGATCTACTTCCCTGTTGTCCGACAGCTGGTCAGTCCAGTACCTTCCTCAAACTGCAGCAAGGGCATATTAGCCTGAAGAATAGAGGACACTACAAGATTTTATATTGTTCAAAATAGTTAAACTAGAAAGGAGCATGATGTATGTATTTCTACCATCTTTCTAGTATACTCTCACACAGCACAATTCTTCACTGAGTTAGAATTTGCTTGTGAGCAATCTGCACTCAGGTTTGTTTTTTTTTAAATAGACAGTTTATTATAGGCAATGAGTCAGAGTTGTGTTATGCTGACAGTTTAACAAAGATAATGATGCAAGATCAAACTCCTGCTACTGTTGTATACTCCCTCATTAAAAGTAAAGCAAAAGTTCTCTTCAGAAACAGCCTGAAATTTGGGTTCTTGACATTTTACATCTTACAGTTGGCCTGTAAACTCAATTTTCCTTAACTTATAATACTTTACAACTCAGACTTCATTCCTTAGGTACAGATTTTCTCATGTTCAGTAAGTGTGGAATTCCTTTTTGGGGAAAACAGACTGTCTCCAGTACCAGCCACTTCATTTTTAAATGAAGCCTGAAGGCACTTAACATTTGGTCAAAAGGTTGAATACTGGTGAGTGGGGAAGAAAGATCATGAAACCGAAACAAACTCTGTAAGTGTTGCTTCTGAACAGCAGGGTTCTTTGCCTGTCTTGGCTGCCCTGGTGAAACAAGTGCGTGGGAAAAGATCCCGTCATTTGTATAATAAAACACCCCGTAATTCTAACTTTACATTAAGAATTCCAAGATTACGGTTTTGTCTCTCTACATAATGATCAGCTGTTTCAAGAACAGAATTAATTATATGTGAGTAAAGTGATGTAAGATACTAATAAAAAAGTTATGTTGATTGTAGAATATATCCTACTACTGTTCTTCAGTGCCCTACAGACAGGTTCCCAAAAGTCCAAGTTAACAGCCACCCTATTAATTTTTTGTTCTTCCCAATCATGAAAAGTTATTACAGGACAGAGTTAAGAGCTGCAGGAGCAGCAGAGCACATTTTTCAAATACAAGCATATTTCTTTAGATTTTCTTGCAACTATCACTGGAAAAACAACACACATTTGGAAACTTACTAGTTCAGACTTGAAATATCCTATTGTGTTTTCATCTAACTGAAAGTATCTTCTCTTCCAGTTCTTCATCTGTTAAAGGAAAACAAATATTTGTATATAAAATACAAATATACTTACATGCTATATATTATTCATGTTTATGTATTTAATTATATTTCTAATTCTAGTTTATATTTATAATATATATTGTATAATTCCTATTTATTTATAATTATTCATCTATAATATTTATACTTTTTATATATTACATATATTTATGCATGTTGTGTATATATAGAGTGCCCCCAAAATAATTCTGCAAGACTGCCTATTTTTTTTTTTTTAAACTGCAAAAATTAACAATTCTGGAAGCCACTATTTTCTATTATAAGAATTTTTCATCAATCTCCACTGAAACTGTAGCAACTCAGCAACACAAATACCCTGTAAGAAATGTTAAAAGACAGTACGTTAAAGGTTTCTACTTTATTTTTAACTAAAAAAGAAAAGTTACAAAAAGAAGCTTCATAATCTAAAATGAGCCTGAGAACTCACGAAGCATGCATATCTTGCTTAATCTGAACTATCTGTTCCTTCTTTTAGCAAGGCATCATTATCTGAAAGTCTTTTCCAACCTAAACGATTCTATGAATAGTTCCACTTGTGTTAATCAGTCTGTCAAGTTGTACAATTCTTCCTCTGAACTGAAAAATTAGCTTTTTCTAAACATTTTAGTGGTTTAAAAAGCATGCAGACATTGAACTTCTGCCTTCATTTAGATGCTTCTAGTAAGCAAAATAAGGATCTCTACATAACTGTAGAACAGAAGAATTCCTAGTTGCATGCACTAACCATAATGTGAAAGTCTCTGTGCACACAACTTTTCCTCTCCAAAACGTCTCCAACAACCTAACACTGAAGAAAGTAATGAAAAGAAGTAATACAGACATAAATTACATGCTACTGGAGGATAAGTTTTATCTTTAGCCATCCTTAATATTGTCAGTAGTGCTAAAGTTACTGGTAATTATTTCTTCTTTTTTTTTAATCACCTACTTCATAAGTACAACTACCACCCTAGGACCTTTGTTCTTGATTAGCGACACACACTGATCTCAAATACTTACCACGGCTCCTTGTTTTACACAATAGCCAGCTTTGATAACAGCATTATCTGGGGGATGCTTAGCAGTAAAATAAGGAAGGTGACTTTGTGACCGCTTCAAATAACTCCTATCACCCCCTTCACTGCACTCACTGATTTCTTCTTTCTAGAAAAAAGCAGGAAAGTTCAGGATACTCTCAGTTTTTTTCTAAAGGTCACAGAATAACTACACTAGTTATAATAGGAAATAATTGTATCATCCCATGCTCCCAAATCCCATTTACAATTTGTTTGAAAAGATAAAATATTTCAACTGATTTCTAGAGACAATATATGAGACTCTCCAAGGGCTCTGGTTGAGTACCTGCAAGCTCCATTTAGAAACTAAACTAAGAAAGTGCTGAGTATTCTCAAACAATATTGACAGACACTCAATGAAGAATGTTACAGACCTAAAGACAAGATATATGCATGTATTTAGTGCAAACTCATAACGTGACTTTAAGGGCAAAACACTAGAGGAGGCTACAGTGAAGAAAAAGCTATTTCTAGGACTGTAACACACATCAGAATTCACCAACTTTTTAAATGCAGTTCAGGTGTATACATGTCATTTACATGATATTAATCCAAACTGTAACTATTTTCAGCTCAGGGAACTTCCAGAAACAGATACAGGTCTGTATCTTTTAACACTGCATAGATTCTTCTTCCATGAGCTTGTCCAATCTCTCAAACTCGGGAAAGTTTCTTGCATCCATGCCATCTGTTGGCAAGGAGTACCTTATGTTTTATTACTCACTGAAAGAACTCCTCCTTCCCTTTGTTTCACCTGGTTACACCATTAGCTTTGTTTAAAAGCCCATAGCTCTCATACTGGAAAAGACAGTTTACACTATCCACTCCTGCCAATCATGATTTTGCAGAGCTCTCACATCCTCCTCTAGTTATTTCTTTTGCACACGGAAGAGTACTACTAGCCCACTCAATTGTTCTTCATATGGAGATCATTCCACATGGACCAATCATCCTTGAAATCTTTCTCTGAAACTTTCCAATTCTAGTTTAAGTTGAGAACAAAACTGGACACAGTAATCAAGGTCTGGTCAAAGACAGGATTTATACAGCAACAAAGATGTTTTCTGTTTTACTCCTTATTCTTTTTGTAGTAACTCCTAATATTTGTGGGGTTTTTCCTCCACTGTAACTGAACACTAAGATGATGTTTTCATAGTGTGACTACAACTCTTACCTCTCACTCAAGTGGAAATGGTTATTTCACAATCTAGTGTTTTCTATAAAAACTAGGATTGTTTTTCCCAGAATCCCTTACATCACATTTATTTTCACTGACTTTCACTTGCTATCTTATTTGTCCACACATGCCATTTCAAGGCCCTTCTGCAATAGTTTAATCTGCTGTCATCCTTACTACCTCTAATAACATAGTGTATATATAATCAGCTGACTTAATCACCTCTTTTTTTGCCCACTTTTCCTGGCAGTTAAAAAGACAGAACTTTGGCACTGTTAACGCCAACAATTCATTTCACACGCACAAAAATACGTTTGCAGCATACTAACTGATACCTGTGAGGAAAAATCAACACTCAAGTAATTCTTTATAGTCTTGTATAATTCTCTATGATCTTCTATAAAGGGAATAAAATCCTCAAAAAAACCCAGTCAGTATCAATAAAAGGTGCACATCAAAGTATGAGTCCTTTGAGCAAGGTGAGAAGCTGACAGCTATATTGTGATACATAACCTATTCTCACCTGTCAAACAACAAAGCTTCCTCTATCAAATAATAGCCCACTTGTTTTAAGGGTATTACCTGGGTAGGTGTAATGATAGGAACGCCACCCACAATTTCTGTCCTGTAAGAGACTTGCTTCTTTCCACCTGGGCTTTCAGCTTGACGATTTGCATTATCCATTTGACAGAGAGGATCAGACTGCTTTGGTACCTGAAAGTGGAATACGGTAATTAACGTAAGTTTTATGAAACCTAAAAAAGCCCTAATCATTACTCAAGAATTTTTAATTTATCTTCAGCAGGATTTAACAAATGTCCTCTAATTGTAAAAGGCTAGAAATAGCTTACATGAAAATTTGTCGCAATGGCTATGCATTAGTTCTCAGAAGAAAACTGGTGCCAGTAAAGACATTTCACCAGGTGTCCTGAAATCTAAAAATCGATTCCCAGCTTTGCCATAAGTGCTATACTTGATCTTCAAGAAGCACTGCTAATTTGTAGAAGAACTGGTTCTTTATTTTTTACTTGCTTTCAGTTTTAGTAATAAGTGTTTTAGACTGGAGATGCCCCAGTGCCTGTAGAGCTAGCACAGTAAGGCCATAAACACAGGGCTACAGCATTGAGACTTTTGTCAAATAGGATGCCTGACCAGTATGACATTTGTACTCACGTTCCAATACCTGGCATGAAGACTGTGTGTACTGCCTCTGTCCAAAATGACCCTAACTACCTATTTCTAACTATCATTAACTATTAGATAACTCTCTCAAATGTGGAACTAAAGCAATCAAAACACCACAGGAATTTAATTTCCCCAATAAGTGTTTTGATCTAAAATGTTTACTCAAATTTCTGAGTTTGTGCAAGAAGTAAACACCTGTAACTTAAGAAATGCACTAACTGGCTACCTAAGACATTTTCATTTATAATCTCCTTTCACCCCTAGTATTAATATAGTAAATTTGAAGTGACTTCAACAAGAAGAGATCGAGAGTCTCACACCAAAATATCTTAGCCAGCAACCTACTGGATATTTACATAGGACATGCAAATCCCTTCAGAAAGGACACACAAATTGTCTTTACACAGTGAATTACCACGCAAGACTGTGGCACATTCAAAACTTGAAATTGAACTGATCTAGACAAAAACAAAGCTACTTTATAGTCTGCTGTGATTCTAGTTCCTATGTCCAGGACCGCTTATTTTACAAAAAAACAGCCTGCAAAGTACAAAGAGCCCTGAGAGCACAAATGTCAGCCTACGACAGCTTCCTCCTGGCCAAGTGAAGGTGGCACTCAGCAGCTTGCTCAGCTGTGGCCTCAGGCTCATTCTCTCACTTCCACTGTCCCCTTAGCCTCGCACAACACCCAGCTTTGCTAGCACAGGTAAAAGGTGATTCCATTCACAGCCAATTCTGGCGCTGAAGGATAAGACATTCTCCTAGTGCACACAGATGATGCGCCTCAGCCTTTCAAGAGAAGGGGCTTGTAGCTACAGCTTTATGGGTAAGTGCTTCAGCCATCACAAACTCCTACTTAAAATGTTACAGACAAAACCCACAACCACCTTCTCATATGAATGCATTTTCAAATAGTACTCAAATAGGTACACCACGTGCTAGACTGCAAAGGTTCATAGTTATTTTGAGATTATCAGCACTCAGTATAAAAATGCAACGAATCTTGGAGGATTACAATCTGCAGCAAGTAATGCTCATATGAAAATTAATAATTGAATAACCTTAATTATTTGATTAAGTCCCTGGCCCTACTAAATAACCTCTGAACAGATTAACAGTTCAAAGGCTTGTTCCTTCAAAGACAAACAATACTAATGATTTCACCAGCCATTTAGAATGCAAGTTAAACACATGATAAACAGCTTGCAGACTAAATTCTAATTTGATGCAATTAATTCTTTATTCACTCTATTTCTTGAACTGGAAACACTTCAAGCCTGGTTGTGGTGTATCCTCCTTATGAAAAACCCAAGTGAGAAGGCTTTGTGTTTCTGGGTTTTGTATTTATTATTAGTAGTAACGTTTTTATAATTCCAAAGGAAGGGCTACATTAAAACAATGCAAACGACTCATGGAAACATCCTTAGATAACCTAAAAATGAGAAAGTTACTGACAAGAAATACGAATGTGTGCACCCATGCTCAAAATCGCTTCTTTGTAAGGGTATGCTCTCAAAACAGTTCATGTCATCACTTCCCCAAAACTGGCGAGAAAATAAAACCATAACTTCTGCCTCCTGAAAAGACTGAGGTAATACGTGGGTTTTTCTACCATGTGACAACAAGTTGTCCTGGTACAAACAATTTACAATTACAAGTAATTTAACACTTATCAGAAGAATGCATTAATGTTTCTTTGAATGGATGTTTCTTGAAATCAGAAGAGCACCTTTGGAACATGGTATGATGTGTTTGCTCATTATTTTAGTGATACTTTAAGAAATACAAACTTTTGACACCAGGCAAATGTTTGTGTATCTTTTCATTGCTTGCAATTGTCTTCTGGATATTTCAATTAATATTAAATGTGTATGGTTAATTTTAAACTATTAGAAACCATCATATGCTATAATAAAAAAGAATCACATTTTTGTCCAATTTCCAAAGCAAGAAGCACAACAAACTCAAGTTTAGGGAGAGTTCTGTACAGTTTCTCCAAGTCTTGGAAAGCCAAGCCAAGACTTGTTTGTAGAGATAAAAAAGACTACTCTAGCATAAAAACTGGAGGCAAAGGTTACATTTAAGCACCTTGAGACAGTCACCATTTGAAAGCATTGCTAAATATCAACTAAACCACTTACTGTGATTTTGGTAGCTTTGTTCAGAACATTTACCCATTCAACTAGGTCCTGCTGATCATTGGCTTGTAGAAAGTATTTTCTCATCCCTGCATTCATAACTGTTAAAAACCATTATGAAAAGTTAACAACACTGAAATTTAAGAGCAAACGTAACACCATAATAAAAAGATTTCATTCCAGATGGAAAATCCAGTGGAAGTATTTAAGCTCTCTGCTGCACTTCTTTTTAGAAAGTCATCTTAAGATATATATCCACTTGACAGGCTTGCTTTATTCTAAAAACACCTATTTTTCTTTAAGCTCTCCACTTAAACCACATCGTACAGATTTGTTAAATAATTTTTATTAGATAGAAATAAAGCCTTGAATTTTATCAGAATTTTCTACAGCTCCATTTCCCTTTTCTCAATTTCCCTAAGCAACAAAGTTTTATACATGGGGACTTCTACAATTTCTCCTTTTAATCCTCTGACCAGTATCTGTTATCCTTTGCAACAAACTCATTAACATGACTATGATCACTGATTTTTTTTTTTTTTAATTTGTGGAAAAAATCAGTATTGATTACTAAGTATGTGATGCTCAGGACCAAACAACTTTAAAATAGCCAGAACATAAACCTTCATTCTACTTTAGTGACTTGACAGAGAAAGCATATTTTTAATAAGTTTATATATCTACCTGGCAACACCAGCATACCTTTATCCAAAAAGGACAAACATATTTCTGTGTAACAGCAAAAAAATCCTGGCTAGTTTTCTCACAAATTAAGAACTTCTCTTGAAATTAGTTTTAAGGTGAACAGTGACTAAAACCTTCCCAGAACTTTGAAGCATTGCAGCTAAAGTCTGAACAGATTTTGCTGCTCTACCTGTAACATAACAGTTCTTTGCTAACAGCAAACACATGCCAGAAACAGATACTTTTTACTCTTCTATCATCTTTCTCCCCAAAGTGAATGGTTTGAAGCAAACATCATTAGATGCAAATATAAATTCAAAATACAGAACTGTATAATGAGTTGACTAAAACAACAACTCCCAGCTTTTAAATAAAAAGGCAATAAACATAATTTTTTCCTCTAAAAAGTATCAAAACCACTTTAATAAATCAGAAATATTAAAAGCTTTCAGCCAGCATCTTGGACCGTTAAGGCTTTTTAGAGCTGGCCCACTGACAAGAGCAACTTTACAACTGATGAAGCCAAACACCTCTACACATGCACGTGCAGAGGAATCTGCAGATGGCACTGAATTGCCATGCTAGGTACTAGTGTAGAATCCCTGATGCCTTACACACAGGGGTGATTTACCAAGCATTTCATGAGCTCCAACACAGAGACTGCACCAGTCCAGTAGAGCTGCCTTCTCTGGGCCTGTACAACACTTTGTACATGGCAAAGGACGCCTTAACTAATTGTCACAAAACCTTCAGGCATTTTCAGTACTTTCATCTGAGCTATAACTCTTAACATGAATGCAGCCATAAGGAATGGTTATTCATAAACAGAGCAGAGGCTGATTCCAGTCTCTACACATACTTTTGTGAATGCCAATTGCTTGTCAAACAAATCTGGAATTATGGTAAATTCTGGACAAACTACTTATAAGAAAAATCTAAAAAGAGACCACAAGGGGCTTTTATGATTATCTAAAGCTTTACTCAGGTTTAAATAAGTTTAAGTACCAATAAGCCTAGAAGGTACCCCAAGCAAATTCTTCTTCGGTGCATCAATAGAGGCTGAAATTTAACGTAAGAGCATTGGCTGACAGTATTTTTAGATCAATTAAATCAACTCTTTTATCAGTAATACTGATTAAAATAGTTAAATTACTTGTCTTCATAGCTGACAGGCATGCCACGTTTCTGAAAACACCCATCATTTTTGATTAGCTTATTAATGCCTCAAAAATTTCAAATATCTGAAAAACGGCTCTCACCTACTCCTTGTTAAGCTGCAATATAAAAAGCCACAAAAACACCTTCTGAAGAAGCCAGTATTTCCCTCATACTAAAGAAGAAACAGTGAATACAAGCTATTTTTAAGAAATACACTACCAGCTGTATCTAGTAACAGAATTGCAGAACTTTATCTTTGTTTCAAATTTCTGAAGAATGTACTTGATGCACACACTGCATGCAAGAACTTACCAAAACAGAATTCTGCCTTTGGCCTTAGCTTAGTTGCATCGCTAACCTAGCAGGGAAATTAAGATTATAAATATCACTGTGCATACAAAATATACATCAGATATCACAATTTTTTTTCCTCTTTCAAGTGGCTAAATTTGAAGATTAGCAGCATAGCAAGCTTGTTAGGTATAAAGATATACGGATATAACAAAAAATACTATATAAAATTCAGTTCAAGATGTGCAACCTATGGTAAGAAGACAGCTTAAGCCATATGTTCCTATTCCTTAAGTTTAAGGATTCATTACCAGACAAATGTTGAAATCTGAAAACATAACACTTCTACTTGCATTTTGAAGTTCTACGTCTCAACTGAACTAAAAATTCAAGGACATTTCATACTGTCAAGGACATTAGTTCTATTTTAGTTCATTAACATAAAAAGAATAGCAGCCACTTTTCTTTAGAAGTCTCTAAAATGTTGCAGTGTTGGGGGAAGGAGAGAAGCGGGTGTCCTGTTTTGAGAGAGGTGTCAACATTTTTACATTATAGAGCACTTCTATCAAGGGTAGGGGAGAAGGCAAAGCACTCTCACATCAAAACCTTTTTTTTGGCCAGAAACAAAAAACACGTACTACGTAACTAGAAGAACTATGGAAAGTTAGACAGAGCATCTGCACAGGAGGCACGCTTGAGCTGCCTTCAAAGGTGCACACAGGTGCAAAAGCACAGGTGACCACCCCTGCTCCCATTAAAAGTGAGATACAAGATTTCAGATTTCTTAAGATGACAACTGTGAGGTTTGGGGCAGAGTAAGCATAGAAGAAGGAAACCAAGAAGGACATAAGCAGATCTCCACTGACATTTATGTACTCATGATACAACCAGCATCAATGATACCTTTTACAAGAACACAAAACAAGGAAGGTGGGAAGATGCAGTATGACAAGAAAAGCAAAGGAAGGATGAGAAATGAGCAGAAAGACAAGAGAAGGTCAATTATTTTTCTCCACTTATTTGTTAATGCAGTATCTGCTACAAATTGAACCATGGAGACTTTCTTAGTTCACAGTTTTCTTTCAGACATATTCAGAAGTGAGTGTATACAGAGTGTAATGAACTAAGTATTTTCTAGAAATTTTTCTGTTCTATCTATTAAAGATCGTTATTACTTGCAGACTATCACACCCAAAGACTTATCTTCCACTTCATAAATGGCCTGCCTTTTCTCCAAGACTAATTAGAAATCAAAAACTCAAACAACTGAAACATACAGCTCAAACATTAATTCTATGCAGCACAAAGAGCTGCCATTTGAAATCACAAAACAAACTTAGACAAAACAGTAATTAGTCTGTTCTTATTTTAACCTGATACTATTGAAGTGTTTGTAACACTTCTCTAAAATTCAGGAGTAGCACACAAGCAAAAAGCTTCCCATGCGCTACATAAGAGGCTTTTAAAATTGTCTAAAGCTGAGGCCTTCAGAAGGAGCCCTTGGTAGTTATCACCAAAACTTAGCAACAAGTGTCTTACATATTATCTTACCTTTGAAATATAAGTAAGTTTAATGACTCCAACAGGTGGAGATCCAGAGGGAAGATTCTGAAACAAATCATATGTTACAAAGTGAAACTAGTTTATTCTCATATCACAGTCAGTGTTTACGCATAAAAAGCAAACAACTCAATTCCACAAACAAAAAGAAAATCCTATGTGTTTTTATAGACAATATACAATGTATGCTTGAAACAGGATCTAAACTACTTGTTTATTATACACACATCTGTTAATCAACTAAAAACAGAAGGACTGCTAGAAACAATACAAATAGTAATTGTTTCAGAGGTTTATGTATTTTACTAAAGGAAAAAGGATTCTTGCAGGTCTGCATCCAGGAAATCCGGAAAGAATACTTTTTCCTTAACAGATGTTAGAGTCTTATGTATTTTGACCAGGGCAGGCGGAAGGGACAAGAAGTGACATTCATCTATTATGTCAGATACTTCAAAGGCTGTCCCACGTATTTCCCAAAACAGATTGAAAAATCATAGTCTTATCATTTAATATTGAAGTTATTGCAGGGAAAGACCATGATACTTCCTAAAGTTGAGTTAAGCCTAAATATATTTACAATCCAAAAAGGAGCTGTCCATTGTTTTTACACCCTTGCTTAGCACACTAGTCTTAACATTTACATTACTATTTACAATCATCTAGTAGCCTAGAAATACAACAGTTAAAGAACTGAGCATCACAAACCATGGTTAACTTTTTTATTAACTGTTTCTGATGAAACAGTCTTCCTAATTTTATTCCTTTAAATAAAGCATTGTTTTCCATATACTTTTTTCCATTACAATTTTTACTTTCAAAATGGCCCTTTACGTTACAGTATCATTCTTCCCACTACAGGCCTCCCTGGAGACCATAAGAATGGTACTGCATCTGCTTGCTGATCCTTGCCCCAGCTAAAGAGCTCTTCATTATTCCATAGTGCCTCATGAACTTCTACATGGCAAAGAGGAGCCTAATGCTACCCACAGAGTCAGAAAGACAGAAAAATAATTGGTTTATACTCCATTCATATTTCAAAGGTAATGAGGCCTTCAGAAGGAGCCCTTGGTAGTTATCACCAAAACTTAGCAACAAGTGTCTTACATATTATCTTACCTTTGAAATATAAGTAAGTTTAATGACTCCAACAGGTGGAGATCCAGAGGGAAGATTCTGAAACAAATCATATGTTACAAAGTGAAACTAGTTTATTCTCATATCACAGTCAGTGTTTACGCATAAAAAGCAAACAACTCAATTCCACAAACAAAAAGAAAATCCTATGTGTTTTTATAGACAATATACAATGTATGCTTGAAACAGGATCTAAACTACTTGTTTATTATACACACATCTGTTAATCAACTAAAAACAGAAGGACTGCTAGAAACAATACAAATAGTAATTGTTTCAGAGGTTTATGTATTTTACTAAAGGAAAAAGGATTCTTGCAGGTCTGCATCCAGGAAATCCGGAAAGAATACTTTTTCCTTAACAGATGTTAGAGTCTTATGTATTTTGACCAGGGCAGGCGGAAGGGACAAGAAGTGACATTCATCTATTATGTCAGATACTTCAAAGGCTGTCCCACGTATTTCCCAAAACAGATTGAAAAATCATAGTCTTATCATTTAATATTGAAGTTATTGCAGGGAAAGACCATGATACTTCCTAAAGTTGAGTTAAGCCTAAATATATTTACAATCCAAAAAGGAGCTGTCCATTGTTTTTACACCCTTGCTTAGCACACTAGTCTTAACATTTACATTACTATTTACAATCATCTAGTAGCCTAGAAATACAACAGTTAAAGAACTGAGCATCACAAACCATGGTTAACTTTTTTATTAACTGTTTCTGATGAAACAGTCTTCCTAATTTTATTCCTTTAAATAAAGCATTGTTTTCCATATACTTTTTTCCATTACAATTTTTACTTTCAAAATGGCCCTTTACGTTACAGTATCATTCTTCCCACTACAGGCCTCCCTGGAGACCATAAGAATGGTACTGCATCTGCTTGCTGATCCTTGCCCCAGCTAAAGAGCTCTTCATTATTCCATAGTGCCTCATGAACTTCTACATGGCAAAGAGGAGCCTAATGCTACCCACAGAGTCAGAAAGACAGAAAAATAATTGGTTTATACTCCATTCATATTTCAAAGGTAAGAAGTAGGTTATGTTTACTGTAGACTAGTAACACTGAAATTTAAAAAAAAAGTCTTCCCATTCTGCCCAAATAAATAAATTTAAGTTTTACTGTATCAGAATGATTTTGATCCCAGCATACACCAGTTTTATAATCTTTGTATTAGGATAATAATGTGTGATTAATGGTGGACTTAAAAACATTATTTCTTTGAACAGCTGAACTGATTTTCACAGATACAAATAGAGCACTTCTATCCGCAAAGGGCCCAGTGAAGTTCTGCACACGCCACAGACTCATCCTATATGAAGAGTTTCATCACTTCAAGGATTAAGAATGGTCTTCACACAGTGGCTTTATAAAAGCTATGCAGTTCTTCCAAACTAAAGCAGCAGTAGAAGAAAATCAAGAAGCTTCAACTTGGCCCTTGCAAGGCACCTTTTCATTTGTGCATGAACTCTAACATTAAAAAAAAAGAAAGCCTAAACTAAAACCTTTAAGAGGTGTACACTGCAAATATCAGTCTTAAAGCTTCCGATGAACTGCAATTTCTATGGCATTTCAAGTTTTTGCACACATGCCCTGGTTACATCACAGGAGAAGCTGAAGAAAAGAACTGCTTCGTATCACTTGTTGAGATCAAACATTTGAAGTCTCTTATTTCCAGAAATTGTTTCTTTTTTCTCCTCAGTAAGAACTTCTGAATGCTTCAGTCACAAGTCACATTCATTGAACTACACATTGTTTAATTATTTTTTTTTCATTGGTTCCTTTGAACTGTAGACTTCTACTGCATTTTAACTGTGGTCCTCCTGGCAGAATGGTACATGAATATTCTTCTGGCAGATAGTTGTCAGCTGACCTACATCCTATGCTTTCATTGTCTCTGTACCCAAACCCTAAGCAATTACCTGTTCTCCCCTATACTAGAAAAGACATCGATGCGTGTACATTGTAAAAGTAGCTTTTATATAAAGGATGCTCTCCATAATGGATACAAGCTTTTCACATTCACGTACCATTCACGCTATATTGAAACTGCAACAAGCATCATTAGAAATTGCGTTCCAATGACTGATTCAGTTGAAGTAACATAAAACTGCTAACTGACCCATGCAACGCAAGGAAAACTACATACTTCCATATAGAGTTAAAGGTGAATTAAAAGACCTGAAATAATGAAACTAGTATGTGATTCGGCTCATCTGGTTCTATTACATAGCACTACTTAGTGCCTGCGAGAACCTGCAACACACATTCAAGACACTTGACAGAAAACAAAATAAATATAGCACGTCATGATTAAAAACAAATAACTGATTTACTGAGGTATCAAATTCAGAATCCTATCTATTCCCCAGTTCTCCTGTCGGCAATTCACTGATGTTCGAGTTGTTTGTAATGTTTTGCTACTAGCTGCAATTGGTAATGTTTTAAACAGAAATATGAATTATATTTTTTCTTTAAAATATTGCACATATTAGCAAAGAGACACTGATTAACAATGATTTCACTTATGTAACTCGCCCCCGCCCAGCTTCCAGATCCATAAACATTAAACCCCATTTTTCTTAAGTAAATTTGTTAAAAATCTGAAAAAGTTTAAATTGATAAAAGCCAGATAACTATTGCCAAGAACATCTCACCTGTGGGTTATCCATGTACCACACCAGACTGTCTTCTCGTGTGTCCAGAATGAAGTACCGCCGCAGAAATTTTCCACTATTCTCATTTTCTTCAATATCTAGGAAACCACAAATGCGATTCTGACGATCCACATAAGGCATTTCTGACCCTGAACATCACACTGCAGACCAAAAAGCATGTAAGTTAAGCAAAGTTCCTTGTTACTAATTTTAAGACTGTTCTGTGCCTACCCATGACATTTTGAGCAGTTTCAACTAGTAGCTTAAAGAAGTTTCTACAGAAGAGTAAGTGAAGTGTAGCTGTTTCCCCCCCCACTACCACCACTGAATTTTTAGATAGGTCTTTCTTACTTCTTTGGAGCATATATTTAGGATATCTAATACCCTAAGTGCAAAGATACAAGTGGTAAATAGTAGACAACCATCAAGACAAGCTTTTACAAGATCACTAAAGAATAATTAAAGATTCGCCTTCACAACTAGGTTTACACTTCCTTCTTTGACATTGCCTTTCACGGTCAAGAAAGGATCTTTATCAGCAGCTCTACTGTCCAACGTGATTTTTCATATTTTACTTAAGCAAATTCAACAAAATGGCTTTTAGAAACATTGTTCACATTTTTCTTTTCTCCTACAAAAAGAACTTCCTGTCTAACAATGTCTAAGAACAGACATCTTTTTATACGTATACATTAAATAGTCAAAATGAAGTTGTATGTGCAGCAACTGAGATGTGAACACACTTCCTAGTCCGAAACTGAAATATCCACGTGGTACTCTGAGGTTTTTTTTTTGGGGGGTTTGGGGGGGGTTGCCTTTTTTTGTTTTGCTTTAAAAAATAAATAGAATAAAAATCTGTACTGCTGACCACCTTTTCCCACTTTGCCTGCTTCACCTTTTATGGCTCTGTCTTACAGCAGGCTATTGCATCATTTTTTTTGCTTCCTTTTATTTTACAGGACAGTCATTTTACCTTAAGAGCCAGCCTTTTAAGACCAAAGATAAATTTGCATACTCCTCTACAAATGGCAATAAACCAACATTTAAATTTTCCCAGAGCAGGAAAGAAACAATTCAGTCTTCTTTACATTTTGTTACAAAACTCAGAAATAGTACATATCCAAAGATATTAACATGAGACATAAAAGGTTTAAGCACTTCACACTTTTCCTAACATCTTTCAGCCTTCACTGTGTAATATAGAAGTTTCTTTTTAATATTTCTTGAAATTGTTTAACTTTACTATTTCCTTGTTTAAAGTTATTTGATTTAAATATAGTTATATACACACACAATGAGGCAGATACCTGGTAACTATCTGTAGCTAGCTATTGATGCACCACAGTAAAACATGATATACGGTTAAGCACATTTTAAAGTGTTTTGGGGAATCAGATATACAGATAAACATATATTTATTTTTTGGGATCAGATATAGAAACATGTAGATATATGCTTGTATTTACAGCTGTCCTTTTACATGACTAATTAGAGTACTAGTCAAATTTTGCTTCAACCACTTTGAGAAACAATTTTTTAAAGAAATCTATTATAATGATTTTGATACCATATTAAAAGATTTTCTAGTAAAGAGTTTTAAGCCATTTAACTCAACCTGTAAGATAACTAACCTTTTTTGTGCCCAACATTGAACTAATCCTCTGGTGCGAACTCAAGTCTGATACATTAAGTTTGGCATCATGGACCAGATCTAACAATCTCAATTCAGCAGTACTTGCAAAAAGTTGAAAAGATTGCAATATCACAGTGATGACAGACTATTAAAAATGTTAGTGGTTTAGGGTTTTTTTTAATATAAGCTATTAAATTCTAAAGTTAAATGCATTTTTATGTATAACAAAGTTAACGCACTTTTGTTTGAGATGCAAGACATTTTCTATTTAGCTACAAGGACATTAAACGTGTCTAAGCCTTCCATTGAGTGCTTGACTGATTTTTCTTTCTACCTCCAAAAGGTAAAAGAATCTCCACATTTAAGGTAGGCAATGATGGTTTAAATCTTCAAAGGCATAGGTTTGTTCTTCAATAAAGTAACAAAATCTACTAAGGTAATCTAAATTTTATTGGTATGTTCCTCAATTTAGATATCACAGATCTAAGACAAGTTCTGTAACTGAGTTATAGTTATAAGTAACAGCAAAAACAAACACTTGAGCACTCTCAAGGCAATGTCATAATCATAACAAACATTCATCAGTAATTCACATGCTGGCTCTTGGGATCACTTCACACTGAAGTAACATCTCACTGTAAACACATCTGTAGCTAGGGGCAAGCTTAAGGGTAGCTATCCTCTAAATTATACCTCTCAGCAGGCAGAAGTTGGCATCACACATTGTTTTCATTTAAATGAACTAAAAAAATGTGTCATTTACCAGTATTGTCCTCAATTGTGCCAGGTGGTCCCTCAACAAAATATACAGCACTTCTGGGACACAATTTCAGCTTAATATCAACAGTTTATGAAGCCCAGAAAAGCCTTGTGCCTAAAAAAAGCAAATATTGGTGGCTGGTTTCCTGTTTGAGCAGGCTTAAACTGCGTTCTCTGCAGATGTGAAGAAAACGAAACAAGGAAAACTGTTTTTGAAACAAGATACAAATTGATTAAGAATCCTTGAATAAAGCCAACCAAATGTTAAAGCCTCTATCTTTCAAAAATCCTTTACGAAAAATGAAAGAAGGATACTCATAATGCTCCATTAGAAGTATACAATTAGCTAACGTTGAACTACTCCAATACTTTAAATTTTTTTTTTCCAGGGTAAAAGACAAAATTCAGAAGCTTTCTCGTATTTGTCAATAAACCAATTTTCAAAGAAGAAAACCCCTAAATTCATACAAATTTTCTATTTCAAAGTACTACTAGCTAATTTCTAGCCTACAAAATAATACTATTTGCAGTTCCTTTGTCCTCTGATGAAAATACAGGATACACTATCATTAACTTAAAAACTTAAGTTGTAAAACTGTTTTCTTCAGATTAGTTTGAAATTCCTCACGGGATTACTGACATCTACCAGACTGATGCTCTTAAAGAATAAGAGATAAGAAACCCTCTAACTTTATTACAAAATTGAAGTCAAACATGAAATCATGCAACTGTTTTCAAGTTTTAAAAGTCTTGCTTCCATCATATTACATCTTGGCAAGATTCCACTGTAAATTAATACCAATTCTATTCAGCTTTCATTAACAAACCACAATTTGTAGCGCACATAAAAAAAAAAATCAATTTGTGCCTTTCTTCCAGTTACTAAAGCAACTGAACACACATGACTAAACCACCACTATGACACCCTTCCTGGCAACTCCAGACTGACCAAAAAAAGCTACAAAGACGGAATTACCACATTACTTCTGAAGATTCATAAAAGGAATTGCAGAACTCCAACATTAATCCTTCAGCGTAGGAAGTCTGGCTGGAAGATCACCAGCCTAACAATTCACCAGAACTTCAACTTAAAAGTGTCTTCAGAATACAGATGCTGTCTTACATAGATATGATTTATTTTTCATGAAGTTATTATTTCAGGCAATTATAAAACAAAAATCTCCAAGTCTGTGTACGTTTTACAGCTCTTACTACATACACAGTTATTTTCTGCAGCAGAATCTGCAGCACAGAACAGTGTAATAACTCTTCTGCCCACTTTTAGAATCAAATATTATAAAAAGATTATGAGTTCTTAGAGAGAAAAGCTGAAGGCATCAAATCTATAAGAGATTACATACTTCATTTTATTTTGCCTTCCCTCCCCGGAGTAGGGGGGGCAGGGGAGGTAGAAGACATGGGTCAATGACATAGTGGTACTTCAGAAAAATTATTCCCGTGGCCCATTTCCTCTCAGTTCTCGCCATAATCCACCAGAAGCTAAAATATTTTTGAAAACCCATTTTGTGGTGTATATTGACACTCATATGTAAGAATCCAGAAAACTCTCAGCTCCTTAAATTCCTTCTCGGAGGGTTGTGTTATAATCCAAACAGGACGTCTCACTTATTTTTGAAGTCTTACATCCCTCTTTCCAGTGGCGGTGTGCTAATTTAAGTAGGTACATACCTCATCAGCCCAGCTTCTCTCAGATTTCCCCTCTCACCACTCTTTTCCTCTCGGGTATACCATATACCAACATTCCTCAACATTTATATCACAAACTAAGGCTGCCTGGCCTCCCGGGCACCACTATAAATAAAAATCACAGATCACCTTCTCCCAGTCCATAACTGTAAATGCATGACTGCACGACTAGAACCTGCAGAGGCACACAAGCATCGTTTTCACCATTTGTAACAGACTGCTTAAACTTTCCTATATTAATTTATATTTTTAGTTTCACACCAGCACCTGCTCTTGAGTTCACCTCCCTTACAGTTTGGTTGCAGCCTCCGTATCTTCAAGTACAAAGTCTATACAAGACTATTAAAGTGGCATGCAAGGTAACATTTCTGTGGCCCAATCTCTCCTTTGACAGCTAATGCTTGATTTCCACAGGCAGGCATAAACCACGGACCGCTGGCTTACTAGAGAAAGTGGAACTTCGTATGAATAAATGACCATGCAATAGGCCTTGCACTATCCACATGAAAGCTTGATTAAGAAATACAGCAAGATGAGCACTGCTCCTTAATACCTTTCAGTTTTATTTTACATGCGTTTTCCCTAAGCTTAGTGTATAATTTTATTATTATTTTTATTTCTTCAGAGTAACACTTCTCCTTCCTGCTCTATTAGCGTATGGACATTTTGAACTTTGGATTTAACCTACCACAGGAGATGACTTTGGGGTTCTTCTATTAGCTAAGAAGATTAAGAAACATACATTACTACTTACTCATCTGTATGAAATGATGAACAACATTCATAAAACTACACTTGATAAACATAAAATGATGCCATGAGTCATGCCCATCCTTCCTTCCCACCCCCCTTTTTAAGCTCTACTATTTAAACTAGCTCCATCACCGCAAAGGGAAGGTAAGCAGTATCCTCAGCAATCTCCAGTCTTTCCTGCGGTTTCAGGGACAGCTTAATTATTGAGTGCTCTTGGCTTTTGCCTAGGCAATTACTATCAGCTTCCTGCTGTAAATCAGCTACTCTCCAGTTGGTTATCTCTTTTACTTGCCATTTACTCCATTTACTGACT